AAGGGATAAATTAGGGTTTGGGGCTTAACAGACACACATTACTGCATATAAAATATATAAACAACAAGGTTCTACTGTCCAGCACAGGGAACTATATTCAATTTCTTATAATAACCTATAATGGAACAGAATCTGAAAAGAAAATATATATGTGCATGTAAATGTGTAACTGAATCACACTGCTGTACACCTGAAACTAACACTGAATCAACTACACGTCAATAAAAAAAATTTTTTTAAGAGGGGGATGGCTGAAATAAGATATAAGATGTTGATAATCACTGAGGCTGAGGATGAGGGTTACATGGGTGATGGTGAGCATCTGAAATCTGAAATTCTCCATATAAAAAGCGTTTTAGAATCGGTGCCTTGTGTTTTTTGTAATCATTTCACGTATACGTCTTACTTCAAACACCAACCGAGGATGGCCTTGAGGTCAGGGCCCATCCCCCACTGCTTCCATTTCCACCTCAGGACTGAATCCAGTGCTGCAAAAACAGACGCTGGTGGGTTGGATTCTGGAGGTGTTCCCCCTCCTAGGTGCCAGAGGTCAGGGGCTGGGTGAGGGAGCATGGCCCGGGACAGATGGAGATTTAGGGTCACACCAACTGATTTTAATCGTTGTTTCTCCCCGACCATGTGTGCGGTTAAACAAGCCCACTGTAACCCCAAGTGAATGTTCGTTGCCCAAATCTGTCCTCCCCAGAGACTACTGCGCTGCCACCCCCAACTCCACTGGGACCCCCTTGTCACCTCCAGCAGCGTCCTTGCGGCAAGCTGGCTTACCTGCAGCGGCTGCTCCCCCCGGCATGATCTCCTGCAAGCCTGCTTTTCCTGAGGTTTTGGTGGACAAGGGGAAGTCTGTGTCCCTGGTTCTGCCCACCCCGCAGACTTGTGAGGCCTCACACGGCGGGGTGGGGCTGCAGCCTTTCTCAGGGAAGAAAAACACTTTGCTGGCGTCATGATCGAACCCTGAAAAACAAAAGAGCAGGACGAGGGGCTCTTTGA